TATATATTATATATATATTATATATATTAATATATATTATATTATATTATATATATTACCTTGCCAACAGCAGCAGTAGTATTTCCTGCAGCATCAAGAGCATCGGTTTTCTCTCTGACTTCCGGGGCTAAGCCTGACATTTGAGCGATGCCTCCGGCATTATCGCTGACAGGGCCGAAGGCGTCAATCATTAAGCAGACAGGAAGAGTAGAAAGCATCCCTAGAGCAGTAAGAGATACTCCGAATACACCGCATAAAGCTTGAGCACAGCATATGCATACAGCTAAACATATTATCGGTATTACTACTGATAGATATCCTAAAGATAAACCGTATATTATTCCTGTTGCTGCTGATAATTGCTGTGCTGCAGATATCTCTCTAACCGGTCTGTATGAATGCGATGTATAATATTCTGTTGTTAATCCTATCCCTAAGCCGCCCCACAAGCCTAATAAGACACATAGTAATGCTCGCCATTGATAAGTTATAAACACTTGTCCTTCTTCTTCTCTGTTTAAAACTGCAAACTCAGCAGGTAGAAATGCATAGGCTGCTGCTATTAGTAAAGGGGTCTGTACAACTGTGCTTAAAAATAAAACTGCTTTCAAGCTCTTTTCTATATCTTCTACTGCTCTAACAGAGTACCATCGCCTTACAATATATACAGTTGCACAGCCTCCGACAATGCCTAGAGAAGATATAACTATCGGAAACATTAAACCTGCAAAGTGCTGCGATAACCCTTCTGCTGCTGCTGCTGCTGCTGCTCCTGCTCCTGCTCCTGCTGCACCACCTCCTCCTCCTGCTCCTGCTGCTGCTGCTGTTCCTGCTGCTGCTGCTGCTGCTGTTGCTGCACCCTCATTACTAAAAAGAAACGACGAAATACCCTCAACACCACTAGTACTACCTGCAGCAACACTACCAGCAGCAGCAGCAGCAGCAGCTGGAGATGAAGCCGGAGGAGCACTTGCTAGAACAAGACTTGCACATGTTGCTTCAGCAAGAGAGCCAAATAGATCTGCACCCATCCCCGCAATATCTCCTACATTATCTCCGACATTGTCTGCTATACATGCAGGGTTTCGCGGATCGTCTTCAGGTATACCGTATTCATTTTTTCCTGACAAGTCTGCTCCTATGTCTGCCGCCTTCGTATATATACCTCCACCCACACGTGCAAATAAAGCTATTGATGACCCTCCTAAACCATACCCTGCATGCATGCATATATATATATATATATATATATGTATATATATTAGTATAATATATAGTTAGTATTATTCTATATTATATATATATTGCATATAATGTATATAAACGCTACTGATGAGCCTCCTAAACCATACCCTGCATGCATGCACATATATATATATATATATATATATATATATATATTTATATAAATATAA